TTTAAATGAGAAGGGTAGAATAATAATCTTATGTTAGGGTTGTGGTATTTTTAGAAATGATCTTTTGGTTATGGTATTTTTTTTGTCAACCAAACTATTAATTAGATAATACCACCGTAATTGGTAATCCAATTAGGCGGAATGTTGTTTACATAGAAAACCGTAAAAGTTTTAACTCGTGCAGAACGGGCGGTTATAGTACTTCTCAATTTTTTTTTTTAAATTATGGTATTTCTTATAATTTTCTCTAATTTTATTAACTTAATTAATATTTTTTATATAACAATTATTTTTTTTTTCTCTTTCAAATATGTTATATCTATATAATATTGATAGAGATTTATTTTACTTTAATTGATTTATTTTATTTCACATTTTTATACGAACTTCACGTCAATTAATTTTTATACCTTCTCATTTTGTTTAAATTCTTTTTTCTTTTCATATATTTCTTTCTTACAATTTAGTTACCATCCAAAAGATTACAAATTGGAAACAGTTTACAGCATAATATGTTTTTGACAATTTAATAAACTTTCTCCTATGGTTCTTGATTAAATTAATATTAAATATTCGTAAATAAATGGACATATAAGTTTTGTATTATTAAGTTGATATCCGTACCATACAATAGACACGAATATCTCTAGTTTTAATAGTATGCGTATATAAAGTTAACCGTGGTATGTAAACCGAAGGTACATAATGCCTACTTTCTTTCCATCCCAATTATATCGAAATCATTAATGTTTTTATATATATATAAATAAACCCATAAAGATGCAACCATAAAGTAATAAAATTTAATTTACCTGAAAAGAAGAATCTTCCCGCACCCGCTACCAAACAAGCATTCATGTCTGAGATCTTGAAGAATGAGTTGGTGGTTTAATAAGTTCTACTCTGTCTGCATCCCTTTTCCCTAATCTCGACATAACTTTTTATTACTACCTTTTGACTATTCAATCAAAATGTAAAATCTTGATACGGATACGTAAATGACCACTTTAAATATATAGTCGAATTTGATAACATGATTAGGAAACAGAACTAATCCAAAGTAAAAATACAAAGCTAATTAAAAACTAGGATTTGAGATCATATGGAATATAGATATTTGTGACATCTTTTTCGATTAGATTTTTGGGTTTTTTTTAACAGTTAATTTCATTTGTCATGGGAGAATGTCGGATTTGCTAGATTTACCTGTGAATATAAAGTAGATAATTTAATTACTAGGAGTCAACTAAACTGGACTCTTGCATATGTCTGGTGAAAGTTCATCCCCTTTAACCATTTCTCCGATATCGTCTCACTGTCATCAAAATCGATCAGAAAGATTTTTTTGAAAACAAAAATAAATTTATCGGTCTACGAGTTTTCCGACATTTAAGTCAATATTTGTCAATGTAACTAGATGAGAATGTCTTTAATTAACTTTGTTTGCATGTGGCTTACATCTTGGGGAATCAATGGTATGATCTCAAAGAAATGTGAGTTCCCGCAGTTTTCAGATTTTTTTATGAACTTGAGCTTTTGTTTTTTAAGAACAAACAAATATTTAAATCAATCAAGTGGTGGTCTCGTATTAAAAAAACTCAAAAAAAAAGTAAACATTTCCAACCTGAGTTCGATTCCCTTTAAAAAACACTTTCACCTCTATTAAGCCAATCGAAATGGTGCATACTTTAGGCCGATTAAAAAATTCGGTGAGTGGACTACTCGACAGTTACACTCATCATGGACGATTACACTCATCCTGAGCGATTAGTCGGGTGGTAAAAATCCGGACACCCCCACCCCCGGTTATCCAAAAAAAAAAAAAATATTTAAATCTCAGAGAATTGATATACCTTAAATTTTACCATATCTATTATGGACAAAAAATGATGTAATTTGGACAAAAAATGATGGAGCGATCTTAAGCGTCGAATGTTTTGCATCAGATGAGGATCCACCGTTAGATCAAGCTCTAATTTAACTATACGATAGATGAAAATGTTAGTTTTGATTTACATATTAGATAATGGAAATCCAATAGTGTGATCTCAAGATATGTTCAATCTACTGAAAACATGTCATAGAGTCTCGAAGAAAAGCATGCACATGAAGTGAAAACTGCGGATAGGT